GTGATTATATTGTTGAGTAGATTCCATTGTACGCGGAATAAAAAAGTAAAGCACAAAAAAGTGTCAACGGCTCAGGACTTTCTTACCATCCTAATAATAATCCGTGGCCTTGTTGCGTTGACTATCGCTTACATGTATGAGCTTCAACTGTAAAGCTAGTGCTGCTCCCACGATTCGAAAGCTCGTAGCAATCGAAATTATCGCTCAATGATACGTCCCAGGTGTGCTCTGATCATCAATCATTGTAACCGTTGCAGATGCGTTGATTTTGCGTCTCGCTCGTCCCCTATGCTCTCTTTTATTCTCAGGTACGCGTTTTTTTGTTGTGATAGTTTCCCCGAGTCGGGGTGCTCAATCTTCAAAACTTGGATGTACTTAAGTACAATACCGCTACTAATTTTTGTTCAATCGACGGTTTGCGACGGTCGGAAACCGTCGCAAACCGTCGGCTCGCCATAACTCTTTAAAAAATGGTTCGCTCGACCTGCAGTTTATACCATCTGATAGCTCTGCTCGAGATCTACAAGATGGTTAAATTCAATTTCTGAAAGAGCTCCATCTAGGATTGCGCCATGCACTCGACCTCCATCCCGAGAAGTAATGAATATACTTTGTATGTGATGCGCATATAAGTCCTCCTATGCAGCCTGATCATCCCACAGAAACATGGATCTCAACACCCTCAGAATACGCCACGTACCCAACCGGTCCACCATATGGTGAGATTGAATGAATGTTTTTTTTTCGAATTTCACGATCTTTAATTCGTTCTAGAGCGCTAATTGGCTAACCGTGCGCTGATCAACCCATTCTTCCACTCCAAATGAGAATCTTCGAACAGTTTCCAGCAGTAGTAGTAGACCTATTATGTGACATTCCCCACATTTAGAGGAGATGATTTGCGGAAACCTGAGAAGATAGCCAGGAATCTCTCCACAGACGTAGACTCCAGTTACTTCTCTGTAAGATTGATGTAGAATATTTGGTCACGGGTAAGCGCTCCGTCCGTGGTGTGGCCCCAAACATCACTCTCCGTCATGCCCTAAAATAAAAATCAGATTTTTTGCATTTCCAGATGAACTCGCAGACCTGAGATGTGCCCCATTGGATTCCCCGTGAAAAATGCTATCGAATGATATACATTACTCCTCCCAGTTGAAACTTTGGTTTTTCACCGTTTTCAGCCTTCCCCTATTGCCGATTGGGCATCATTATTCCACTATTACTATCCCAAAATCTCAAAGTTTCATTTTTCGTCGAAACTTTGCCTATTGGGGTAATTCGATGCCCTGATTACGAATATGACATTCATTCTCGTAGTGGGGCCCCAAACATCACACCTCGCCCCATTTTTTGCGACATGTTCCATGTTTAGAGCAGATGTTATGTAGAAAGCTGTGAAGGCAGCGACGAATTTCCTTTACTGTCGTAGACTACGGTCACTTGTCTGTAGGAATTACATAGAAACCTTGGTGGCAGGTGAGTCTTCCTTCCGTAGTGTGACCCCAAACATCACACCTCGTCATGCCCTTGCGATATGATCAGATTTTTTTGGTTCTCCAGATGAACATAGAAGACTGAGATGTGCACCATTCAATTCCCCATAAAAAATACTGTCGAACGGTATACAACTCACTTTCTGGAGAACATCTAGTTTACCTGCCACTAGATCCATTTTGTGACATTTCCCAATTTTCGAAGGGATGTTTTGAGGAAATTCGAGAAGGGAGGGACGAACTCTCTTCCCTATCGTAGAGTAAGTTTACTTGTATGTTGGAAAAAGATGATACACTCGGGCTTGAGCGAGTGTTTCTTCCCTGGTGTGGCCTCAAACATCGCTCTCCGTCATGCCCTGAAATAAAAACCAGATTTTTTGGTCTTCCAGGTGGCTCTACGGATCTGTGGTGTACACCGTTCGATTCTCCATGCAAAATGCGATCGATCGAACGATATACATCTCAGTTCCCACTTGAAACTTTCGTTTTTCACCGTTTTCGGCCTTTTCCTTATCGCCGATCGCCTTCCTCAGCCCTGGCCACCCACGTGCTATTCACGTGCGCGGAGCGTGAGAGCTCACGTCGACAGCCAGATGGCTTTTCTTTCTTCGGCCGTATTTAGGCAAGGGTCAAAAAAGGCAGAAACCAGCATTTCTGAAATACACCGCTATGCGTGTCGAAAGGTGGCGTGGGAAAGTCACACGCCACCTGGCGGGCACGGTTGAGTTTTTTAGGCACGCCTCCGATCTGTTTACGGCTTCGCTGGCCCAGAGCCCGCCTGAGGGAGAGTGCTCGATAACGGCGCAAGGAATGCGATAAGAAAACAGGCGATTTGAAAAACGAAAGTTTTAAGTGGAACTGCGGATGTATATCGTCGATAGGCATTTTTTTGCGTGGCCCAATGGAGAATGCTTCGAACAGAGATTGCTACACCACGATTTCACGCAGAGACCCCGTTTGTAATAATTGTAAATGCTGAACTCACATCTTCCCGAAAAGATCAACAGATAAATGTCCTGGGAAGACCAAAAAATCTGGTTTTTATTTCAGGGCATGACGGAGAGCGATGTTTGAGGCCACACCAGGGAAGAAACACTCGCTCAAGCCCGAGTGTATCATCTTTTTCCAACATACAAGTAAACTTACTCTACGATAGGGAAGAGAGTTCGTCCCTCCCTTCTCGAATTTCCTCAAAACATCCCTTCGAAAATTGCGGAAATGTCACAAAATGGATCTAGTGGCAGGTATAACTAGATGTTCTCCAGAAAAGTGAGTTGTATACCGTTCGACAGTATTTTTTATGGGGAATTGAATGGTGCACATCTCAGTCTTCTATGTTCATCTGGAGAACCAAAAAAATCTGATCATATCGCAAGGGCATGACGAGGTGTGATGTTTGGGGTCGCACTACGGAAGGAAGACTCACCTGCCACCAAGGTTTCTATGTAATTCCTACAGACAAGTAACCGTAGTCTACGTCAGTAAAGGAAATTTGTCGCTGCCTTCACAGCTTTCTACATAACAGCTGCTCTAAACATGGAACAAAAAAAAGTTGAAGTTGTCGCAAAAAATGGGGCGAGGTGTGATGTTTGGGGCCCCACTTTGGCAATGTCCCGTCATTCTCTCCCCCATTTAGGTGGCCACTGACTTACTCGGAGTAAAAATGAATGTGATATTCGTAATCAGGGCATCGAATTACGCTGTCCCATGTCCAAAAGATTATCGAGAAAGAAAAATAAGAAAACATATTTGAAGAATATTAATAGTGATAGATGTAATAGTTGATATAATGGGATGCGCAATTAGGCAATTATCGATGGTAATGTCGCATAACGGGTGATAATATTAACCAGAAATTTTTCAACGCTGATGCTATCTGTGTGCTAAAGTAAGTGCCTATATTTCTCGATTGTATAGCCCCCATTTTTTTCACGTTCGGAATCCATGGGGGGACATGGCTCAGGTCTCTGCGGAGTTCATCTGAAATGCAAAAATTCTGATTTTTATTTATAGGGTCATTGTCATCGGAGTGAGTGAGGATTTTGGGTGCGGCTGTGCACACCATCGGGCCGGAGCGTTCTTACTCCGTGTATACCAAATTTTCTACCTCATTCCTACAGACAAGTGACCGGAGTCCACGTCGGTGGAGAGAATTTCTCGCTAAATCGCACGTGGCGCCAAGGGCTGGGAGGACGATCGGCAATGGGGAGCAAAAAAGTGAGAAAAACAAAGTTTTGTGTGAAACCTGAGTTGTACACCATTCGGTAGTATTTTTCATGGGAAATCGAACGGTGCACCCCTCAGCTCTGTAGAGTCATCTGGAAGAGCAAAAACTCTGATTTTCATTTTAGGGCATGACGGAGAGTGATGTTTGGGGCCACACCACGGACGGAGCGCTTACCCGTGACCAAATATTCTACATCAATCTTACAGAGAAGTAACTGGAGTCTACGTCTGTGGAGAGATTCCTGGCTATCTTCTCAGGTTTCCGCAAATCATCTCCTCTAAATGTGGGGAATGTCACATAATAGGTCTACTACTACTGCTGGAAACTGTTCGAAGATTCTCATTTGGAGTGGAAGAATGGGTTGATCAGCGCACGGTTAGCCAATTAGCGCTCTAGAACGAATTAAAGATCGTGAAATTCGAAAAAAAAACATTCATTCAATCTCACCATATGGTGGACCGGTTGGGTACGTGGCGTATTCTGAGGGTGTTGAGATCCATGTTTTCTGTGGGATGATCAGGCTGCATAGGAGGACTTATATGCGCATCACATACAAAGTATATTCATTACTTCTCGGGATGGAGGTCGAGTGCATGGCGCAATCCTAGATGGAGCTCTTTCAGAAATTGAATTTAACCATCTTGTAGATCTCGAGCAGAGCTATCAGATGGTATAAACTGCAGGTCGAGCGAACCATTTTTTAAAGAGTTATGGCGAGCCGACGGTTTGCGACGGTTTCCGACCGTCGCAAACCGTCGATTGAACAAAAATTAGTAGCGGTATTGTAACTCTGTTACCCACTATTTGACCTTGACAGCTTTGTAAGGGTAATGGCGAGTTTGAAAAAAAAATGACTAGACGGTTCCGGATCAAAACAACGTTCCAATACACACACGTCATTCAAAACTGGAACGTTCATGTATTCATAAAAAATAGCAAGCGATCAAACAGAACAAAAATCGCCTCAAAAACGGAAGTCGATGTTATTCAAATATTCAATCGGCTTGAGGTATGTTTACTGTGGACAAAACTTTTTTTGCATTTAAACTCACTCCCGGCGAATATTTGTTACACCGTGAGATGCTCCTCGTTGTAGCGCTCCTGGTCTCCCTCTTGGGCGTTTGTGTTCAGGTAATTGTGATTTTTTTCGTACCATTATAAAGTTTCAAGCTATACATTTCCAGCCTGAGTGGACAATATCAGCCACCAACGTCAACACAGCCTCCGAGGCCTTCACCACCACCACCACCGCCACCACCACCACCACCTCCACCAACAAGACGTACCCCACCCAGCCTACGAGACCTACTCCCCCTCCACCTCCCACACGCTACCCTCCTTCAGAAACCACCACCCCGGGAGGACCGCCATCGTACGATTACGACGGAGGAACAACACCACCACAGTGTGACCCTAATCCAACGCCCTGCGTCTGTCCTTCTCCCTCTCCATCGCCTCCACCACCGCAGTCGACTCCACCATATCTGCCACCAGGTCAGAGTTTTCTGATTTATTCAGGAGTTTTTAGGCAGTTTTTATGCCTCAGCAAATTTTTAGCATTCTCATAGTGATGAATTGCCTGTGTGTTAGTGAGCAACCCCTTACCATGGGAAAATAGAAAGGAGAAGTTTTTTAAGGCCGCCCAAAATATGGGCTGAAAGGAATAGGAAATAAAGGTGAAAGACCGAATTTCTAGTGGCTAAGCTTCGCCATTTATTGTGTAGGTCCAAAGAACATGCCAAGAAGATGATCACAGTTGAAGTTAAAAGTGCGACTGCATGGCGTATCAAAAATGAGGGCCTGAATCGCGCACCAGGTCAATTTGTACTTTTTACTTTTTTTTGTACGCTCTACAATCTTTAGCGACATCTTTCACTAACATCGGACAATCGCACTTCTCTGAGTTTTTCAATATGAATTTGCACCTCAAAAAATTCGCAGGGTTGAAGGGACAGAGGAGTTGGTCTAGAGGAAAATGGCGCCACTTTTCACGTGCACTGCTCGAGGGCGAAAACTCGAACCAGCTCACGCCCAGGCCAACCAAGCCCTTCTATCCCTTTGGGGTCGGTTAGATTGGCTACCCAGATTCTCTGAGAAGTAAAAACACCTAGCTTTACAAACACAGGCTGGCCTCTGCAATCTCTCAAGGTTAGAATAGGCATAGAATGCGTGGCGCATCCCAAAGAGAAATCGATTAACGCCAGAAGATTCGAGTTTTTCAAGGTCTTATAGGGTATCTATGTTCAAACTACACTATTTCACTATTTCTTTTCTGTTCTTATCTATCAAGAATTTTTCCGAAAGAGCACCATACATTAATTCAGAGATTTTTATGCTTCTTCTTATAATCTATATGCCTCATTCTACATGATATGGTTCATCCTAAAAAAATCCTTTTTAGGAACTCCAGCTACAGTACCGCCCACTCGAAACACCCCTCCAACCCCTCCAGGCACGCCGGCTACACAACCAACGCCCACTCGATACACTCCCTCACCGCCAACCAATCCTCCACCTACAACCACTCGATATGTTCCTCCTACTAATCCGCCAACGCCAACACCAACTCGTTATAGTCCTCCTGGAACAGTTCCACCCACCGGATATTTTTCTTCGCCCAGCACTCCACCAACTAGATCCGTACCTGTGACGAACACAACCCGGCCAATACACTTCGTCAGCTCCAGGCGGTTATGTGGCTACCAACGCGGAAATGCAGGTGAGTGCAGCCACCCAATATATTTCATTCACCATAATCATCATACATCTTCGCACACAGCGTAGATACACGATCATCGCACTTTCATTCCAGGAGGCGATTACAAGCTGTTCATCTACGTGTTCCTCTTTGGCTTCCTCTGGGGGAGATCAGGTCAGCACAGATACACTACGGTAAGTACGAAAGTGGTGCTAAGGGGGACGCGCATCTGCTCGCGGAACTGATAGCTAATATTCCTTTTTACTGTTATTAGACCCCGTCTCCCTTACTACAAAAACAAACTAGTTGCGGTTTACAGTAACGCCAGAGCAGGGACAACACGATCTGTTCGCACTATTCGAACAAAGGGGTCGCATTAGTCATTTTGGGAAGGGAGTCGCATTTTTGGGTTGAGCAAGATTATCATAGAATCACTGTGTTTGGACGAGTTTTCATTGAGCAATTTGGTGAAAGTTTTACGAAAGTAGTGAGAATTAGGCGAATTTGGTGGAACTTGCCAGCTTCACGATACTAATTACTCCCCCCCCCGCGCCCGGCGGCCGCCGTTTTGGTAGAGAAAGGGAGCGGGGATGGGCTGTGTTGACTGGTCTCACCATCAGACACAGAAGCAAATACTATAGAAATAGCCATGATGGTGAGGATGGTGGTCGGCGAAGGGATAAGGGGGACTCTATGTGAGCTGTGTGAGGATGACTATCCATAATACTGGCGGTGCAGAATTTTTGAAATATTCAACGTGACCCTGACTGGTGGACATTTCCCAAATCTGCGATAGTTGGATGAGGCCTCTTTTAGAGAGAGGGGGATCGCAAAATTTTCGAAAAAGCGCGAACGTGACGGTTGACCCTGCGCAAGAGCATTGATCACTTCTTCGATGCAGTTGTCTGGAGCGCTGAAAAAAGAGGAAACCAAGAAGAATGGTCCCAAATGCGCCACCGTCTGCCCTGATGCCCTATAGAAGGTCGTGGACTGGCTAGGGCAGCAAATCGTGATTGTAAACCTTCGTGAGGTAATTCGGCAAAAACCATGAACCTGGGGAATGGTGTCGACACATAATGACGCTTTTAGCTATTTTCGTATAACTTCGTATAATGTTTTTTTTATGTGTTGAATCATAATGATTTACAAAAAGCGTGAAGTTCTTTCTACTATAATTTCAACTGTTCAGAAAAATGTCCACTGCTTTGGATGCATGCCAAAGCCTCAGCTATGACCAACCAACGCTGACGACACTCACGCCGGCTATCAGTAGAATGCAAAGAGCGGTAAAGATCTTTCAAAGCTCACCTGTACTGCGATTCTATCGGCGACGTTAACCCATTCGCGACCGCGCCGGTTTGCGCATTAGCAGGAGAGTCAGGAGATTTTTCTTCAATAAAATTTGAGTGGATGGAGATTCCCCGTGCCCAAGGCTGGCATAGATGAATGAGGGTATGAAAGATTCTTTTCAGGAAGAAAACTTTCCAAATTCCATTTGAAACACGGCAGCCACCGGTGGATACCATTTTACATCTTTGTCAGCCCAACCAAGTGCTGCCAATGTCACGAATGTTAAAGAAGGACACCCGCCCAAAAAAAGAGGACCCTCTATTGATGGAAACAAGCGAACAAGCCTACTTCAAATCTCCCGTCTCCAAACGGTAATATACTCTCAATAGTGAGTGCACATCCGTTTTCATCTACGACGGCAGCGGGAAGACCACTCGTCACATTTGGCTCACCATTCGTCAAGGCTTTTCCGCAATACAGCTTCCACGTCACTACCGTCACCATCATCATTCATGAGCTCGTGAGATTCTGCAAATTAGAAGTCGTACATTCAGAGATTCGGAATGCAGGTTCACATCTGTAGGAATTTCTTCTTTTCCCTTAGCGTTAGTCCCGCGCAGTCGCAGGGTCCGCTGAGGTTCACATCTGTAGGAACATGAGATCGGTTTAGGGGCATGAGGTTTACAGGGGGGGGCGTCACAAAGTGATCGTGGCATGGGAAATGCTGCTTGAAATGAATCCTGAACACAAACTTTGCATATATTCGCTTTGCATAATAGAGACACGTGTAGCTGCCAATTCATTAGATATCGGCTGGCCTCAGTAAGAAATGGCACTCATAAGAAATTCGCTAGGGCTCAATCGAACGTAATCGCTCACACCTTTTAATGTGCGAAAGATTGCCTGGAGCGTAGAATCAAGAAGGCCTTTATAAACCAAAATAGTTAACCTGGTTCATTTTCGCGTCCTTCCCACTGTTTACACCATCCAAGGGCCTTTATGAAGCTTGTAGGAGCGCCACCACAAAAACGAGGGGGCTAGCGATGCAAAATGCCCGACAGTCAGCTTACTTATTTGTCAGTGAATAATCACAATGGTAGATGGAATTTGAGCAGGAACAAATTTGTATGTTTCAGACAACACGCAAGGTCAAATTCAAACGACAACAGCCACTTTCAGCAGTCGCGCAGGGCAATCTAAGCCGTAATGTAGGTTTTGCCCATACGTTGTGAACACTCAGATGGTTCTGAGGTGATTAATCCTAGTTCCTCAGTACAAGTTTATTTTCAGCTGGTATGGTGGACTAACAACGGATACAATCCATCAGTACAACAAGTACAGAATCTGTTCAACACCGCCAGTCAATACCTTGAACAGTACTGTTGAGAATCGCAACAGTACGAAATGTGCTCATTCGTTTGAATAAATGAAAGTCTATATTCAACTTTCTGCGGTGTTAGCTGCAAGAGAATACAGCAGACTAACAATTTTGAGGAAGCAGGCGGAGGGATGGCGCGAGTTTGAGAGCGTTACCTATGTAGTACTTCCGTGGTTGCTCATGCCCGCGCGTCAAAAGATTGTGAATTCTGCAAGACATGTTCGCCAGGGTCTGTCCTATCGTTGTTACTTTTCGAAAAAATTTTTACGACCCCCCTCCCCCAACGTGGATTTGATACGACCCCCTTTTCCCTACCTCCACCATCTCCATCTTCCATCAAAACCCCGCCCACTTTTTCCTCCAAAAATGCCGTCGAGCGGGGGGGGGGGTATAGAGGAAACCCGCTCTTTGTTAGGTGCGTAGGCGAGCTAAAGACTGTGCGTCTGACGAAGGTGGGGTGGTCGGGGTGATATATATAAATCGCTGAAGGCGGGGTAACCACCATTTCAACCCATTTCTTACCTATACTCTCGCCCAGCCTACTACCCACGAAATCTTAGTTTCACCTCAATCCCACACGTAATTTCGAGCGACTGAAGGGGGTACGACCCCCTCCAACAAACTCAACCAGGTACGTACTCCTCCCCCCCCCCCCCTTTGTCACTTGTAACTAACGTAGGGTTGACCCTGTTCCAGACTACTCAGACTCAATTAGGACATTGATTCCTTAGGTTTCAAATGCAATTTGCTGCTACTTACATACATTGCCAAACATATACTCAGCAAATAAGTAAGTAAATGGATAAGTAATAAATAATGCAAACAAATAAATAAATGAACGGGAAGTTTTGACTGTTGTTAAGCGCTGTTTTTGATCGCAGTTCGACGAGTTTCACAAGAATACTAACTTTTTTTCATTATGTGCTAACCTCCTCCTGGTCGGAGGTATCTTGTCCGGGCAAATAGTTTTTCACGCCTTTCCTGCAATCACGTGTAGGCTTCATCATAAACGTCACGAAGGCCTAGCTTGGTGAGCTTTTGGTACCACAGCTGGTGACGTTCTCAAGCAAGGGGTTGGGGGTTCGGTTCCTGAAGTATTTTGACCTGCACGTTTATTTAGGCCATTGCCGCCTGAAGCACCACTGCCCGAGATTTTGCAACAGATTTTTCTTCCTAAGTTTTACACATACTTGTCTGTAAATGCCCGTGGTGCCCGTAGTGCAGGTGCTACCCTTTTCCGCTGCGATTAGGTACGATATTCATGCTCAGATCAGAGGTTCTTGCACTTGAGAAAAAGAAAGCAGTGACACTTCTCAAACTCCAATTTTAGGGCTGACCATTTATGGACGACGGAGAAGTGTGGAGAGGTGGGGGTTGCATATAAAAATAGTGCCTTGCAGGGCTTAGAAGGATGCGGACGGGCAAGCGAGACACTCTTTTTTTTATGAAGTGTGCTTAAAGTCCACTCTATTCCATTACGCAGCTTTTATAATTGACTTTATGTTACGTAAGTGACGCGAACCAATAATTCAGCTGGGTGTCCCCCAACAGGCCCACCGCGCGGCGAAGGAAGAGTCGCAAGCGCGGCAAAGGACGAGTCGCCGCGCATACTGTAGCAGCTAGACGTCAATTCTAATAGATCGCATTTCGATACGTACAACACCCATCACTCCACGACGTAGGCTCAAAATTCGACATTTGATTATGCACGCCGCTTTTTCATGTTTTTTTTTGCACCATTACCTTTCCCTACCGCCACATCCCTTTCAGTTCAGCTTTCGACTTATCTCTTTGATTGTCACGCTCCACCTTCTGATTTTCCATGCAAAACCCCACACCCGTAGGTGTGCATTGTCCAGTGTTTTATTCGCCTCAATCTTTCCATTGCTTAATTAACACACACGGTTAACTTTTTTCTTGGAGTTTAACACACTTCTACACTTTTTCCAACATCATCTTATCGTTATCTGTGCCTGCGGCTTTTTCGAAAATATCGAAACCCCTCGTTGTACGAAAAAATATCGAGGACGCTGTTGTCGGTTATCTGCCCTGGAATTTTTCATGAGGTAAGCCACATTCTGGTCCTTTCTTGGAATTCAATTGTGTATGTTGAGGTGGAACAATAGGCATGCATAGAGGAGAACTTGCAATTTCTGTAGGTCGTCGGAGTTCAAGCCCGATTGCGTTGACCTCGTGTTTATTCTATTGAAGTGATGTTGATTTTGCTTTTGAGTCAGCCGTTTTCTTGTGTGCCATGATCGAGAAGAACAAATGTGAGTAGTTTTATAAGTATTCGCTTATGGTGTACCACACATAGCTTCCAATAACGCTTTTAGGTGTAATGTCCAGCTATCATTCGTTGTCATTCATGCTGTTTTCCACCTTTTCTGCAAGGCTTTGATAACTTATTCTTAAGTTTGCTATTTGTTTCGATCGACTTAGTTCCGTTGTGACAAATGCAAGTAATAGAGGTGTTTTTCTAGTGTTTTTTTAGAGTAACAACTGTAATGCAATCTATTTCGTATCTAACCGCAAAATACAAAAGGTAAGTGATCGTTATTTCAAAGTGTTCTTGTATTTGTTGCATCGCAGACCAGCTAATGTTTTGCGGTCAGATACAAAATGGCTCCTTCTTTAGAACTTTCCGTTCGCTTCAGTTCTTGTCCCTTTTCAAACTTCAGGCACTGCTGTTTTGTTGTTTAACTCAATAAATAGCTAGTGAAATAAGTCACAGTCCTAAATGTCACCTACCTATTGCTCAGATCATGTCAATTCTTCAGTGGTAAAGTCTAGCCTGTGTAGTGATCAAAGAAAGGTGATTGGTTACAGCCACTTGGAAGGAAAGCACTCCTATTCTATTTAGGCAAGCCTGTTTCAGCGGCGAATAGTTGAAATGTACCATATAGAATAGGAATGTGTTCCTTCCAGTGTGTTTGGACAGGAAAAAAATATTTATTCAGAGCGAATCGGGAAAGGGGGGGGGTACGTATTCGTTTACGATGGTAGACGATGGTGGCCCTAAAGAGGGCCGTTGGGTTAGTAAATACGGGAACGTGGTGCACCTGAAAGGTCAGAAATTTAGCTTATATGTACCTCATGTAGGATGCTAGAGCTTACTCAAAAAGTTTTCTCCGTCACGTAGCGGGACATTCGACGGCAATAGGTGTTGAT